CCAGTGCAGAATTAGTCCCCCATAACCAAGGGGCTTGGACTCCACCTCTCTACAGGGCAGTGCTCCCCAGATCTGTGCCCTAGGGCGCTCCAAGCCCATGGAGCTGAGGTGGGGGGTAGGCACCCCCATGTCCACCCTTCCCTCACAGCTTCCCACTGGCTCCCAGGAGAGGACGGGGCTGATGGAGAGCCTAAACCTGGCTCAGCAGAGACCAGTGGGATGTGAAAATCAAGGGCAGCTTGTTTTCCTCATTTTGTCTCTAACAGCATATTAATCATGTTTGCCTGGAGGCGTTTGGGTGCCCCAGGCTGCCCAGCCCCACGGTCGCCCACAGCAAGCAGAGCAGGGCTCTACAGCCCTGCCGGGGGGCGGGTTACCATCCGCCCTGCCAAGGTGGACATGGGTCTTCACCAGGTGTCTCCAAAAACGTGACCGCAGAGGGGCCGGAGTCAAGCGCAGTGCAGGGCTCCGGGTTGGCACTGGGCGACAAGCCAGGCCAGAGCGAGGTTTCGGCAGGGTCAGGGATTTCTGCTTGAGCCCCCAGCTTGGGGAAAAGCAAGCCCAGCTCATGCAAATCCCTCCCTGGCATAACCCAGCTGCCTCTCTGCACTGTGATATGTGAGTATCGCTCACTCTGGGTGCAGACCCCATCACTGAGGGCAGAAGAGAAAACAACGCACCAGGGATCACCTAAATCCAGTTTTTTAATTAAAAGGGGGAGGCAGAGCAGACAACCATTCCCCTATCAGCCCCAGCAGGCTGGGACAGTGGTGCCTGGTGCTGTACCAGGGTGACCGGCAGCAGTGATGCACGCAGCTGGCTTGCTGCAGGATTTCCAAGGAAATCTGGGAGAAAGGGGATGGAAAAGCTACAACCGCTGCTCCTGCACCTCAAAAAAAACCCTCCCATTATCTTGACTAGCACCAGCTGAAATGGTTTCCTGCCATTGTTAAGGTAATTGCCTGCATGAGGGGAACCCGTGCAGCCCATGAAGTGATGCAGGCAGCAATTCCTGCGTCCTAGGCTACAACTGGAGGAGCATGGCTATGGGACTGACAGCCACCAAATCCGCCTGCTGTCACACTATGACACTATGACATCACGTAAGTACCACCCCAACAGTGGCACCAGCCCCTTTCCTGTGTGGGCTGTAGGCCCCCAGCTCCACACAGTGCTACTCATCCAGTGGGACATCCCCAGGACCCCTTGGAGCTCCAAGTGCTGCAGTCCTGGTGGGCTGCTGCGCCATGTTACACTTCTCCAAGAAGCACAAGACCCCCATCAGCACTTACACCGATTCCTACCGCCCGCCGTGCTCCGTCAAAAAGATCTTCCGAGACCAGACTCCGCAGCTCTGGAAAGAAAACAAGTTTGTGACGCAGGTAAATGCCATGGGAGGAGGGACCCTCAGGGCTTCTACCCCTACTCAGCTGCAGATGCTCGGTGCTGGGGGGAAGGGGGAGCACAGGGACTCACGGGGTGCCTCGCTGCACATATGTAATGGGGAGGGTCGTGCTCCTTGGTTAGGAAAGTGTTTGACACGCCCACAGGCTGTGCTCACTCACTGGCTTCTTGTCCCCTGGGGCTGCACCCTGCACTGGCTTTGGGTTCTCAGGGCTGGCAGCCCTCATGTCACCAGCACAAGCTCTCACGTCAGCCCTGTACATCAGTAGGGTTCAGAGTGCACAGGGTTCAGGATCTGCTGAGGATGGGGAAACTGAGGCAGCGGCAGAGCCCAGCCCAGGGCTGCTGTGTGACACGGTGGTGAATAGGGGGACAGATCGGGTAGCCCTGGGAGCTGCCCTGACACACAGACCTCAGGCTCAGCTTAATTCTGACTGGGGGGCCTTTCATGCCGGGGGAAACGGGTGAAGCACTGCGGGAAACCTGAGCACCCAAAAACCCCTCCCAGCCCTGGTCCTGGCAGAGGAGGGATCCCTGAGTCGTGGCTTCACTGCGGGAGGTGTCTGTGGGACCTGCAGCTTTGACCACACAGGCCAACAAGCGTGCAGGCTCCGATGCAAAGCACGCTGCCAACTCATCTCCTGCAGCCTCGTTAGCGTGTGCATTATAATGAGGGAGCCAGCAGAGGGCATGGAGAGGGATGTCAACATGCTGCAGGGACAGAAACGGTTCGTGCAACCAGGGCACCCGTTGGGCCCGCAGAGCCCAGCCCTCTGAGTCTGCCAGCTGTAGGACATCGGTTTGGTCCTGTAACTCCCTTCGCAGCTTCTTCTGGCTCCATACCTGACAGTCCCACTGCACCCACCCCATCTCCCACTCTGCAAAGTTCTCGGATGCCCATGGACACCCTGGGTGCAGGGGGAGAGGAGCCAGTGAGGCCCAGCTATCCCCCGTTTTGGGGGGAGGGGGCGCGGTGTCATGGTGCCGCTACGATCCCCATGCCCACCCGCGGTGAGGGGAGCCTTGGTGCTCAGATCCCCAAGTGCGCCTCCAGCATTAGACCCTGCCCGGTAATCGGCTTCACCGCGCGCCCTGGCAGCCACAAAGGCAGACGCTGCCGTGTGACCTGAGCGTCTCTCCCCACTCCCCACTGTCTGTAGGGATTAAGGATGCCTCCAGTGCAAAATCCAGCGAGCCAAGGTCAGCCCGAGGTGCTGATCAAGGCAGCGATGCAGGAGCGCTACAGGAACACCAACACCGCTGCCTACTGGCCTGAGAAGCACCGGCTGGCCGGGTCCAAAGGTACTGCTGAGGTCCCAGCTCTCCGTCCCCCTGTGTCACATGGGGCACACTCTCATGGGGTCAGGGGGCTGAGGGTCCCAGCAGTGGCTCTGTTCATGGCCATTTTTCCATCCTGTGTCCCCCCCAACACTGGCAAAGGGACCCTCCTTGGCATCTGTGCTTGTGGCTTTGTCGCAGCCACCCGTCCCCATCCCTGCACTGACACTATCCCTGTCCCAGGCATCTCCGCAGGGTTCTCTTCCTTGGTGGCCCCTAAATACCCCCAGGAGGTAGGTACTGCCTGGGGGACACCCTCCTGGCACCCCATAACCCTCGGGGACCAAGGCTGTGTGGGCAGGGACGAGTGACTGATGACCTGGAAGTGGTGGGTGTCACCTCCATCACAGATCCTTACCTTGGATGGCAGGAACAGCACCCTGCCATGCCCCCTGGCCCCATGGCATTATGTTCCAGGGAAAGGGGGAACAGTCAGGACTCTGGCCATCCCCTCACGTCCGCAGCACCGCAGGACACCCCAGTCTGTCACTTGTGTGTTGCAGAGAAGTACAAGCCGTATTTTGTCAATGAGGACAAACACATCACCTGGAGAGCAGGTCCCTACAACAGCGCAGCCTGGAAGGGTCCCCGGCCCAAGGTAGCATCCAGCCCCCTTGACACCCTCCAACTGGATCTGCCTCAGGTGCCACCAGCACCTTGAGCTCTGCAGCAAAACGTGGCAATCCTGCAAGGGCTGCCGTCACTCCTTGCAGGAGACAAGGATGGAGACCTTCCCGCACAGCGCAGCCATGCTGTGCCCCCTGAAACCCCCCTGCCTCTACCAATGTGGTAACTACTCCCACGCTGTCCCTGTACTCTGGCTGTAGCTGTGCCTGTGCTGGAGACCATCCGGGGACAGGCCAGCTGGTTCTCCTCTCCCTTACCCTTGCCATCCTTCCTCTTGCAGAGGGAGAGGTGGCCACCGACACGCTGCACAGGCTGCCCATGTACACCGCGGCGAGGAGGGGGCCCTTCCAGGGCTACTACAGCCCCTGCTCTGGGCGCCACTACTGCCTGCGAGAGATGGACTACTCCGCTGATGAGGGCCCTGCCATCAGCAGGCACCTCTGCGCTTCAGGGGAGAGGGATGTAAGGCTGAGATGGGATGGGCTGGGTTGCCTGTGGTTGGGTGGGGAGGGGTTACCTGGAGTTGGGATGGACATGACCACCCTTGTCCTCAGGGCCACCGCTCACCCCACCTCCTTTGTCTCTTGCAGGAGTACACCATGCAGCATGTACAGCCCCACAGCAATATTGTGTATGTCTACACATCGCCCCCAGCCCACCTTCTCATACAGGAGCCATAGGTGCAGACTGATTCAGTGGGGGGAGCGCTCCAAGCCGGTTGCCCTGAGGGAAAAACCTGTCATTTTTTCCTAATGCCAGCCAGGCACTTGCTCCCTTTTCTTTAGGTGTTCACGCAAAATTTCTCGGAGGGTTATTCTGGGGACGATGGTGCAGACTGCAGACCCCCAGGGGTAGCAGGTCCTATTGTGGCACCCATGCAGGCCGTGATGGCACCTCCGTCTCGCAGGCTAAGAGGACGTGACCAGGTTGGGCAGGACACTGTTGCGGTGCTGGGCTGTGAAGCATCTTGTTGCTACCTGTGGAGAAGCAGCTGACAAATTCAATCCCAGGGCAAGTCTCATACAGCATTCCTGGGGACTGTACGGCACATGAATTCTTGCTGGCACCCCTGAGCCTGGCTGCATATAGCTTAGCATCTCCTAGATTTTGGGGCCATTACGGTGCTTCTTTTGTAATTTTCATTGTTATTGTTTGCTCTTCTTATCCAAGAACCTGTTCCCTGGTCACGCTGTTCGCTATGCGGTAATCAGCCCTGTCCTTCACCCACTGCAGGTCTGGCAGCACCTTTTAATCCCCACGTGTTTACCTTTAGGATGTCTCCATTGCTGAGGCAGCCTTTTTCAGCCCTGGCGAAGCAGCGAAGGGAGAGGGGAGGCTGTTCAACCAGCTTAATCATCACTCTGCTACTGCATCAACCCCCTGCGGCCCAAAATTAGGCTTCAAGCTTTGCAGAAAACATGTGATTGGCTTTAAATTCCTGAGCCCAGAAACTAAAACCGAACAACAATGAGAACAAACAGGGAGCACTGGGTTCCTCATAAATGTCCCTGTACCTGAGCCTTGGTGAGGTGTCTCTCCAAGTCCTCTCCATTGACACAGATTTTCCTGACTGGCATGACTGGGAATTAAGGTTTTAGGAAAATGATAGGGAAAAGGATAGTGGGTGTTTGCAGGGTGGGAGCTTGCTGAGATGGCAATGCCAGGGACCTCTTCTTCAGCTCTTTTTCCCGGACTTCACTTTGGCCTCAGCACCCAAGGACACAGACCAAAGTGGATGGGGGCAGCTGCGTGTTTCACCCCTAAGCAATGCTGGCAGCCAGAAGGAGGTTTTCTGCTCTTCCTCACCGGAGTTTCGTCCTCCCATGGCTGATAACTTTATCTGCTCTCCTAGGTGGGACACGAGCCACTTCCAGTTGACAGGAGGAGTCCAGAGAGGCAGCTTCACCATCCACCCTGAGTTTGCCTCCGAGGCTTACTCTGGCCTGAGACGCTGGTGAAGAGCAAAGATGGGCTTTCATTAAACCTGGCTTAGGCAACTATTCCCCTCCGACCCTTTCCTGCAGGCTGGGGAAGTACCTGGGGAGGGGGGAGAAGCCTCAGCGGCTGACGGCTTGGTGGGCACTGGAACAACCCTCAGGGCTCAGACCCTGCCACCACCTGAAGCTGGAGAGCCAGAAGGCACGGAAGGGAAAGCTCCCAGAGCACGGTAACACAGCCAGAAATGGAAGCGGTCGCGGATACCCGTGTTTGTTGGGTTGGTGCTGGGGTGTGCTTGCTTTTGCCAAGTTATCCAGAAAGAACTGCCATCCATCTGGGATGCCAAGCATGGACACGGGCTAAATAAGGAGGGAGATTTGGAAGCAGCACGTAATTAATGAAGGCATGAAATGCTTTTCTCTGAGTATGATCTGGGAGCCTCTTCCCGGCAGGGAATCATAGAATCACAGAAT